CGTCAATGCCATCAGAGATCTGAGAAGGATAAATTTTACCTGAGTATGGACCTTCAAATCTATTAAAAAATGACAGAGACTATCCATTGCCCTGACTGCCATCATCCCAGGCTCCTGTAGTCTTCATAGCATTGGCAGGACAGGTGTCAGGACAGCATTAGTCTTGATGCCGAGATCATAACGTGAAATTTCTCCCCCTGGAGGAGCAATTTGGTAAAGACTGACCTTATCTTGTCAGTGTCTCCATTCTGGGCCAGATCTCTGGCAGCAGGTATTGAGTTGGGGCAACTTGCCCAGTGGTCGGTGTTGTCCGACATTCAGGTGGCATCTTCTTGTCCTTGTTCTATATCTTCTTTGGAGACCTTGGGAGTCATTGCTAGGAGCTGGGAGTCTCTGTTTGCTATAGTAAGCTTTTTATCAATTTATATCAAATTATAATGTAAATGCCATAGTCATCAGATCTTTGATGGGTTTAAGGACCATTGTCTATTAAATATATCTGAAATAAACAAATATAGGCCTAATCTTGAAAACATCTCTAAGTTTGGTAACAATAATCAGGTCAATTTGTTATCCTGTAGATATATTAGTCAAATGTACCTTCCAGGTTCTGTTTTATTTATTTTTAATAGCTTATAATTAAATAAGATTTAACGGTTTATGCTTTAAACTAGTATCTGGACAGCCCGATGACTAGCATTAACTTGTATTCCTTAACACAGAGAACATGTAAACTCAGACATTCAAAACCAAACATACATGTGGCCACATTTTCATTCATACCTACAGAGTAGACAGACATTTTTAAAACTATGAACCTTTGGAGTCTCAATGTAACAGCAGAATAGCAAGAGAAAGAAATCTGAAACATGTTTTATCTTTTATAGTCACTTTCTTTTATCATTACTTAAGCCTTTTTATCCTCAGACCTTTATAACTTGCTTTTACACATTTCAATAATTAGCATTTCACGTACTTTCCTTCTTTCCAAAACATTCTTTCTTTTATATTCCCATACCTTTGCATCTTAGACCCCACAAAAACTTTACTTATGCAGGGTGGTGGTGGCACATGCCTTTAATACCAGCACTTGGGAGGCAGAGGCAGGCGGATCTCTGTGAGTTTGAGGCCAGCCTGGTCTACAAAACGAGTTCCAGGAAAGGCGCAAAGCTACACAGAGAAACCAAAAAAAAAAAAAAAAAAAAAACTTTACTTATGTTCAAACCCCACAACTTATTTGAACTTTAAAGTACTGAAAGTTCCACGTTTTTATACCTCAAACTACTTTCTCAGACCCAAAATATCATTTATTTATTAAACCTTTTATCCTCATATCTCAGGCCTTTATATTCTTACAAAAACATTATATTCTAAAATATCTTTTTTTTATTTAATTCATTTAGTTATCCTCTACTTGGAATTTTATACAGGTTTTTTCTTATTTTACCCAATAATAATTTGTAACCAATTTTCTTAAATGAGTATTTGTAACCCATTGAACTCAAATGACCAAAATCCATGTATTATATTTTTTTCACTGTGGAAACAAAAGCATATTTTTAAACCTAATATATCTTTAACATTTTTTTAAGTATTTCCAGGACAGAGAAGGGTTAAAATGGGAAGCTAATGAGGAACTTGGCTTAGGAAGGAAGGGAGGGGGATTCAGATTCAAAGTGTGTAGGCAGTAAACTCCCCCCCCCCGCCCCGCCCCCACGGTCCCTGCCTGCCTGCAGAGAGTGCACATTTCTACCCTCTAGGAGAGCCACCCGAGCCCCTCCTGCAGGCTGACACCAAGCCTGCTTGTCCTGCTCCAAACTCCCACGAGGGAGGCATCTGCCCACTCAGGGCCCTCCTGCGGGGTCAGCCCATGTGTAGAGAGAGCCCTTCTCTCTGGGAACTCACCTGCCGGCTCGGGGAGAGCCTGGTTAGGGCTGTTGGAGGCCACAGTCTCCGGTCTCCCCAGGGGCGGGGGAGGGACGAGCACTCAGCAGGTGGCCCCGCTGATGAGCTTCCCCCGCCCATCAGTGCTGCAGGTCTGATAGCAACGAGGAAAGCTAGCAGTCCAGAAACGTGTAACCTTTACGTAGACTATGAACCACTCTACCGGGGTCAGGAGGCTTGGTCTCTCTGTCTCTCTCTCCCCCTCTCTCCCCCTCCCCCCTTCCCCCTCCCCTTTCCCCCTCCCTCTCCGCACACTGCACCCTTCCAAGCCCTATCACAGCCGGCTCTCCCCTTAGAGCAGAGTCTGCAGGAACCATGGGGAGCGGCTCTGCTTCCAGCACCAGGTTCCCTCCAGAGGCCAAGCAAACATTGTTAGAGGCTCATTGTGGACTGCAAAAGGTGACAAAGCTCCCCCTGTGAATCAATCGTTCTGCTGTGCGCAGTGGCTCGCAGTCCTTCTAGTATGCGAGGCCAGGGTCTAGGATATAAAAGGGGGACTGTCCCACAGCGTCCCTCTTAGTCAACAACAAGAACAATTAACATGCTACACACAAGACCCAGGACACACCAAAACAAACTGTGCTGTGCTCTCGTGGGGGGGGGAGGGGGAGCGGCCCTCCAGGCTCAATCACACCAAAAACCGTCCCGACTTGAGGCTCTCAGTCCTCAGTTAAACAGACCGAGGGTTCCACATCCGGTTAAACATTGAGACCCCCGTGATCCCGGCTCACCAACACGTCTGCTGGCTGCCTGCTCAGGCACTGTCCGTTACCGGATCACATCACAGACCTTAGCCCGCCTCAGAAAATGAACATACAGAGTCACACAGAGACAGAGACAAACAAAGACACACAGAAACTTACCGGCCGGTTAGAAATCCCTCGGATTAGGGTCTGGGGAAAGCAGGGGGATCCAGGATGAGCCCCCAAATGTTGTGCCAAGGTCGCAAGACCCCCCCCCCCCCCAGCAAGGCCACCACGGAGCCATTATCCGGTGCAAGCACACACAGGTTTTTATTAACAAAACAAGCAAGCTTGGTCCGCCATCCAACATCCAACACAGCACAGCGGGTGGAGGAGAGCGGCCCTGAGCACTCACTTTAAGGGGTTTATATAGGAAAGGTTTACATGCAGTTTGGGATTGGACGAGGGGCTAGGGGTGAGGCAGTTCTTTGAAGTTACTGGCTGAACTATAAGCATGAGGTTACTGATGGCTAACAGGATTCAGGGTATCTACAGAGACATAAAGTTTTACTCCCTATGACCTGCTTTTGTTGAACCCAGGATATAGACATTCAGATTTATTGTTCCAGTCCTACTCTCCTCTAAGGTCAGCTTCTGGTCAGTTGAGTCCATTACTCCCCATATCTTGTTTTGTCAAGTCCAGGATACATAAATTTATTGTCCCAGCCTTAAATTCAATTTCTGATCACTTCTAAAACTGCTGGTCAGTAAATACCTTTGGAGGTGGGGAGGGGGAAGCATCTCTCAAGATGGCTACTGATTTTTCCCTTTCAAGAGGAACTGTGTGTCCGTAATCGAAATCACCTCTCAAGAGTCTCACTTCCTGTTCTGATTGTGTTAGAAAGTTTTTTGTTTTGCTTTGTTGGGTTTTGTTTGTTTTTTGTTTGTTTGTTTTGTTTTGTTTTTTTTGAGACTGGCTTTCTCTGTAGCTTTGGAGCCTGTCTGGAACTCGCTCTGTAGATCAGGCTGGCCTTGAACTCACAGAGATCCGCCTGCTTTTGCCTTTTGAGTGCTGGGGTTAAAGGCATGTGCCGCCACCGCCCGGTGCCTTAGAGAGTTTTAACAGATGATGGAAGCTCCATAAACACTCAGATCTTGACAATACAGAATATTCCAGCAAGATCCAGGGGGTTACTAGGCAAGAATGAAGTCTGTATGGCAGGCCCTGGGGAAAGGCAGCTGGAACACAGGCAGGTGGGGAATCGAGAGTCTGTTTCCTTGTGGAAGTCGGAGCCATGCTCTATTTGGGTTTGGGGGTGTTATGTTTTGTGTTTCTGCTTTGAAGACAGTGCTTCACTAACTTTTCCTGGGGAGACAAAAACAAATGTCTTTTTACCCCAGAAGGGCATCAATATCAGGCCAACGTAACCATTCCACCAGAAATTTGGTGAGCCAGTATACACTTTCAGAGCATGGCTGAAATAATGTGTGTCCCCTCCTCCCACAAAACTGCTGCATCACGGCAAAGTCCCACCCCAGCATGGAGGATGACCTCATGGAATCTGCATCTTCTCAGCTAGCCAACCACTTCCTCTATACTCCAGTGTCTCCCGAGATCACGTACAGCTGGGGTAGGGCACGAGCGAGCGAACCACAGCTGAGATTCCACGAGGGTGTCTTTAGGTCCTCACTTGCAATGGCTTCATTACCATGACCACACACCTGCCTATCCCTGTATCGTTATGCTCATTTAGCTCCATTAGGTGTGGTGCCCACCTGACCAAAGCAGTTTCCAAGATAGTGAATTTGGAGGGGAAAAGCTAGCCACACTGGAACAGACGGGTCTCACTTGGAGTAGCCTTGGCTGACCTGGAACTCTCAAGTGATCCTCCCGCCTCTTCCTCCCAAGGGGTGGGGTTCCAAGTGCAAGCTTTGCTGCAAAGGAAGGCTTATCACTGAGTATCAAGCACACTAAGATGATCCAGGATATCTCCTTTACAGAATGTCTATGCTTAGATAAACCAACTGAAGCTACAAAATGTCCTCTCCGATAATTGGGGGTTTTGTTTGCTTGTTTTATTGTTACATATGTAGTTACAGCTCTCACTTTTAAAAATAACTAAAAAAAATTTGTTTTGAACACAACGATAAAATGTCTCCTCTAAACATATCCATGAACTTTAACTCAGACTATCTAGATATTACAGAAGACACTTTATTAGAGATGCCATTGCTTCAAATTTCTCCCCTAAAGAGCTGAATATTTAAGGAAGAGAGAAACCCTAAGGGCCTACAAAAGGGGGCGGGGTCAACCCTTCTTAAACTGCCTGGGCTCCTTTCCGATCACACTGCAGTCTAGGTCTTTTTAGCAACATGGCCGCATCCAGCCGCTCTCTCGGTAAGTGCTCACCAGTGTTTTCAGATTATGCCAGCCACGTTCTGTTTAGAAATGGAAAGTGCAAAGGTGTTGGTTAGGAAGGTTTTCTAGTGACCTATATGGTTGGGGTTGGGAGGAAATGAATGTTACATGTAAGATAGCTGCCGGGAGCCCACTACTACGTTTATCTCTTACCGAAACTTGGGTGTGTTTATTTCATCTCGTTGCTTAAAGTTTCAAACTTGTCACTTGTAGTAAGGGGGGAGGAGGTGCACAAACCACTTAATAGATTCGTTACTTAATTGTATAATTTATTTTCATGTTTCATTAGTATCACTTCTTGCTTTTCATTAATTTTCCTCCTTCCTATTGTTCGTTTGTGATTTCTTTGTAATGTTGTGTGCTTTCTAAATCCTTGTCTTTTGATTTTTTGAGATAGGGTTTCTCTGTGCAGCCTTGCCTGTTCTGGAACTCTGTACACTAAGCTGGCCTTAGGAACTGAGAGAGAATCTCTTACCTCTGCCTCCCAAGTATGGGATTAAAGGCATGTGTCACCTTGCCTGTCTCTAAGTCCTTTTCTTGATTATGTTTAGGGGTGTGTGTGTGTGTGTGTGTGTGTGTGTGTGTGTGTGTGTGTGTTGGAAGGGCACATACATGGAAGTCAGAAGAAAATTTACAGTAATCCGCTCACTCCTTCTATCATGTGGGTCCCGGGTTGAACTCAGGTCATCAGGTTTGGTAGCAAGCACCTTTACCTACCAAGCCATCCCACAGCCCTCAAATATCTTAACAATAGCTGTATATATCTTGGTGGCTTCTGAAGTTACATTTTTCATAGGGTTTCCAAGTGATTCCCTCAATCACCACATTTTCCACATTTTTTTTTTCCGAGACAGGGTTTCTTTGTGTAACTTTGTAGTCTGTCTTGGATCTCGCTCCATAGACCAGGCTGGCCTTGAACTTGAAAAGATCTGCCTGCCTGTGCCTCCCGGGTGCTAGGATTAAAGGCGTGTACCACTACCGCCTGGCTTTTTTTGCTTTTTTCTAAATGAGATCATAGCCTGGTTCCTAGAGTATACTAGGTAGGATTACAGACCAATAGGCTAAGGAGATAAAAACCATATATTGAAAGGGTTGAAGACCCCCCCCCCTTCTACTATAACACAAAGGAGTTCCTTTTTTTTTTCTGTGAAAAGTTTATAGTCTTGTTTACAAAATTCCCAGAAAATGTGGGTTTACAGCTAGAGAAGGACAAGACCATACTTGAAGATCGCACAAGCTTAGGCTCTAAGCACGACATTACATTAATATTTTTTTTTTTGGAGCTGAGGATTGAACCTAGGGCCTTGTGCTTGCTAGGCAAGTGCTCTACCACTGCGCTAAATCCCTAACCCCACATTAATATTCTTATTTGAAGTAGTTCTACATAAAAGGAATTTGGGAGCTGGAGATATGGTTCCACAGTTAAAAGCACTTGCTGCTCTTGAAGAGGACCTGAGTTCAGTTTCTAGCATGCACATGGGGTGGCTCACAATGGCCTATAACTTTAGTTCCAGGGGACCTGAACCCTCTTCTAACCCCTAAAGACATCCACATGCACACCCACTCACATAAAAGCAAGCCTCCCCCCACCCCTTTTAAAAAGGACTATTGTATCTAGGCAGTCTTCAGAACAGAATTTCTTAGTATCAAAATTCTCATCTTTACCAGCAACAGACCTGAGTGAGAGCCTCATTGTCCATCCTGTATCTCCTTAATTTCCCCTATCTTCCTATCCTGTACCACTTCCCGTGTGTCTGTGTTCAATTTAACATGACGTCACCATATGCCTAAGGTAAAAACATAGAATGGGATCTAAAGTGGTTTGGCTGGTGTTTTGAAACCAAGTGTCACTGTACATCCCAGGTGAGCCTGGAACTTACCGTGTAACACAGGCTGACCTCAAACATCATATCCTCGTGTCTTCCAAGAGCTAGAAATGTGTTCAGACATCACCAACACCTGGGTGGATCTACTGGCTTTCAATCTGGGATCAGTATAAGACACATGCTCACACTATGATTTTTTAACTTCTTTGCACTTCTCCCCAACTCTCTTTTCTTTATCAGGTATACCACGAAAAGAATCCTTGCGACAAAGAGTGAATTACACCCAGAGCCAAAGGACTATCCTCCAGGAATGGTATGAACGCAACCCATATCCTGATGCAGGTATCCTGAACCAACTGGCCGAAACTATTGATGTTCCAGTACCTAAAATAAAGGTAGGAAGCCAAACAAGAAGATGGGACATGGCGGTACGAGTGTTCAGAATGCTAGAGAAAGGAGTTATGAACTCATGCTGAGTTCTAGGTCACTTGGGGCTACCTAGTGAGTTCCAGACTAGCATGGGCTACAAAGGAAGGCCTTGTCTTTAAAAGGGGGGTGGGGAGGAGAGTCCATAAAAACCAGAGCCAGAGGTAGTGGTTGATGCCTGGAATCCCAGCAGTCAGGGAGACTGCTGACGGCTGAGCTGGTTTTGACTACACGTGGAGCTGAAGGCCATCCTGGGCTGCACAATGAGACCATATCTCAAGACATCCATTAATCCAGGTAGACATTCAATCTCTATTGTCAGAATCAACAGAAAGAGAAAGGCTGGCCTCAGAAATAGGTGGTCGTCTAATGTCAAGACTTCACTGAGCAGGCTTTTCCAGTTAAAACTGGAATTAAAAACAACCTGCTTTCTCCACCAGTGATGTGTTTGAGGGTAAAGAGAGACAGCTACACTGGCTCAGGCTGTCCCAGTTAGATCGTATTTTGATATAGTGAAATGTCTTAAGATTTAGCAAATACAGGAAATTGGCTCACCAGGATGACAATGATATACTAAAGTAGTAGACTACATACTACAGAATAAAGGCTTAATATGTAACTGCAAGGGAACTGTGGGCTAAGGACTCATGCACACTCCTAATTTTTTGAGGGGAGAAGGGGGTTGTTTCAAGATAGGGTTTCTTTGTATAGCCTTGGCTGCCCTGGAAACTCGCTCTGTAAACCAGGCTGGCCTCGAACTCACAGAGCTCCACCTGCCTCTGTGTTGCTAGAGTTTTCCTGCCTGGCCCACAGTCAGGACAAATCTCTCTCACCCGCCAGTCCCAAGCCGCTTAAACCCGATCAAATAAACACAGAGACTTATATATTGGTTTCAAACTGTATGGCCGTGGCAGGCTTCTTGCTAACTGTTCTTACAGCTTAAATTAATCCATTTCTATTAATCTATACCTTGCCACGTGGCTTGTGGCTTACCGGTACTTTACATCTTCCTTATCCTGATGGCGGCTGGCAGTGTCTCTCTGACTCAGCCTTCCACTTCCCAGCTCTATTCTCCTCCTTGTCCCGCCTACACTTCCTGCCTGGCCACGGGCCAATCAGTGATTTATTCATTGACCAATCAGCAACACATTTGACATACAGACCATCCCACAGCACTCTGCCTTCTGAGTTCTATTTGTTGTTTTGTTTTAAACTATGTGTGTGTCTATATGGTTATGTGCACCTGAGTGCAATGCCTGCAGAGGCCAGAAGGCGGCACCTGATCTGGTGCTGGAGATGCGGGCAGTTTTCAGCCGCAGGACATGGGTACTGGGAACTGAACTCGGGTTTTGTGCAAAGACCAGTACTCACTGTTAACTGTGGAGTCATCTCTCCAGCCTGTGAGTGTGTGTTTGTGGTTGGTTGGTATTAACACTGGGACTCAAGTAGTCCAGGCTGGTCTTGAACTTTTTAAGTAGCTGATAAGAATGGCTTTGGACTTCTGGTCATCCTCCTTTGCCCTCCTCAGAGCTGAGATAATAGGCATGCCTTACCATGCCTATTTTTTGTGTACTGGGGACTGAACCCAGGGCCTTATGCATGCTAGGTAAGTATTCTACCAACCGAGCTATAACCCCAACCCCTAAATTACCAATTCTCAAGCTAGTGGTTTTTTTTTCAGTGCCCCAAACGTAATTCATACACATATGCAATTACTTTGATAAGAATTACTTACGTGAAAATGAAACTAAATGTCTTCACTTATCAAAAAGAATTTAATTAGGTGCAAAAAGTGATGGCTCAGCAGTTAACGAAGTATACTTCTCCCGAAGAAAACCCAAAATTGGTTCCCAGGAGCCTTAACTCTAGCCCCAGAGGAGCAGACAGACACTCTCTTTTGGCATCATGAGCACTTACACAGGTACATATACCAATACATATAATTACATATAATTAAAAATCTTCAATTGGAGAGATGGTTCAGTGGTTAAGAGCACTGGCTGTTCTTTCAGAGGTCTTGAGTTCAATTCCCAGGAACCACATGGTGGCTCACAACCATCTACAATGGGATCTGGCGCCCTCTTCTGTCATGCAGGCATACATGCAAATTCAGCACTCATATACATAAAATACATAGATAAATCTTTAAAAAGCTTTTTGAAAAGAATATACAAAAGTATATTGGGTGAGAATAGTAACATTATTCAAGAAAAAAATGTTTTAAAGGAAAATGCTGAGTTTGGGTTTAAGATTTTTAAAAAGGTGTGTGTGTGTGTGTGTGTGTGTGTGTGTGTGTGTGTGTGTGTGTGTGTGTGTAGGGAGTGCCCACAGAGGCAAGAAGAGGGCATTGGATCCCTGGGAGCTGGGATTACAAGCATTCGTGAGCCACCCAATATAGATGCTAGGATCCAAATTTTGGGCCTCATAATTGAGCAGCAAGCCCTGTTAACTCCTGAGCCATCTCTCCAGCCTCAAACATTTTCTTACTCTTTCACAATTTCATACATATACATAAAGTACTTTGATCATACGAGTTCTGGTTTTTATGTCAACTGCATGGTTTCAGATTTGGTGTACGGCCTTGGTCCAAGATGATGTTAAGAGAGGTACTGCATATTTATCTCATGTATCTATACTGATTATTATACAATATACTCAGATTGCAACAATAAAAAGTACATCCTATGGGAATATCCGGTGACTGCTTTAGACAAGAGGGTTTCATGCATTTGAAGTAGCAGGAAGGATGCTAAGTCTCAATGACAACATGGGGTAAGGCTGGCTCTGCCTGTGTCTGAATTTCCAGTTCCCAGCTGTGCTTACGGTGTCTTACTGAAAACATTCTGATAAATTAACCTAGCGAAGAAGGTAGAACCTTCCAGCATAATTTCTGGATTGTCATTAACAGCCTTCTGTAGAAGTATCAAGAATGTGGTTCCGCTGGTAGAGTGCCTGCCTAGCATGCACAAAGCCTCAAGTGTCATCCCCAGCACTGCATAAATTGAGCACTGCATCAATGTGGCTTGTAATCCTAGCACTTGAGAAGTGGAGGCAGCCGTGAGATCCAGCTCTATGGCATTTTCTCAATTAGTGATCAGTGCGGAGAGGGCCCAGCCCATGGTGGGTGGTACCATCCCTGGGCTGGTGGTCCTGGGTTCTATAAGAAAACAGGCTGAACAAGCCAGGGGAAGCAAGCCAGTAAGCAGCTCCCACTCCATGTTTCCAGCCTTGCTTGAGTTCTTGTTCTGACTTCCCCCAACTATGATCTGGAAGTATAAGCCAAATAAACCATTTCTTCCCCCCCCTCCGCCCCCCAAAAAAAGGAAAAAAAAAAAGAAAAAGAAAAGTGGAGGCAGGAAGATCAGAAGTTCAAGGTCATACTGAAAGGATGAATAAAAGGAAAGGGTGAAGTGGGTACCTTTTGGTGGGTCCTGCCAAGATGTGCCACTAAGCAAACGCGCCAGGCACAAGAGAGTTCTTTCAAGAGGTTTATTGGGGGAAGGGAGAGCAGAAGCGTGAAAGGCTGAGTGGGGACATGAGAGAGGCAGACAGACAAGAGGAAAAAGAAAGGTAAAGAGACAAAGAGCGAGCTGTGCCTGAAGGGTGCACATAGCGACAGGTGATGAGGTTAAGTGCCGTGGCAGCAGAGACTTAACACATACCCTGCTACACAGGGATTTCAAGGCCAGCCTAGGCACTCTAAGATGCTGTCTCGAAAAAGTTACCAAGTTACCAAAATAAAACACTCGAGAAAAATTAGAAACTAGGTTCCATTTTGACTCCAGTAACAAACCAAACAACAAAGAGATCCGCTGTTTGTGCTCGTGCCGGTGGAGACAGAGCAAGGTGTCTAGCTAGTCTCCTGACTCTGAAATGAAAACAACCCGCTCACAGCTTCTCTTTCTATGCAGAATTGGTTTAGCAACCACAGAATGAAACAGAAAATCTTGGAGCAAGACCACTCTGAAGGTAAGAATTCACTGGACAAACCTATTTCCAAGGGTCCCACTGAGAGTAGAAATGACTCTGTTATCTAATTCTCCTAAAGATTTCTCCATTGAAGAGCTTGTTACAGCTTGCTCTGGGCAGAGAGTTTCAAAGGAAACATTAATTGTGGGGCATGATGGCTCACACCTTTAATCCTGGCACTCCTGCCGCCTCTGTGAGTTCAGCATCAGCCTGGTCCATGTAGCAAGTTTCTGGCCAGCCAGAGCTACAAAGTTAAGCCCGCCAGCATTGTGTCCCCCCTCCCCCGAGAAACAAAACAAAACAAATCCTAAGCAATATTCCCCCAGTTGCCTGGAACAGGCAGATTCGCAGCAAGCGAGGCCTTGGATTTCTGAAGCAGCCTTCTCCCACCCCGGGGAGACTCAGAGAGTAACTGTGAGCATGTTCTCGTGTGAACACGAAACTGACTGAAAAGTCCCTTTTTGTTCCTGTCATCTTAAGTCAGACCTCACCAATTGTCCTTCACAAGAGCTCAAGAGGACTTCCTAAGCAAGGCCTTCAAGAAGAACAGGCTCCCTGACCGTGCTACCAGGACAAAAATGGCTATAAGACTAGGCATCAAGGAGGCAAAAATTCAAGTAAGTTGGATTCGAGAAAGCAGTGCCGAGTCACTGTTGTAAGTAATACCGCCCCTAAAGACATAACTGAACCTTTGGGCTGTCTTGGGTGTCCACAGAGAGGGCAAAGTTCTGGGTGGTTAACACACAGCAATAAATGTCACGTTCAAAATTGAAATACATCCACATAGAATCACAAGCAAGGAAGCTGGAAAGTGTGTAATTTAAATCTCCCCACCCCCCACTCCCCGCCCCTTTGTTGTTGTTGTTGATGATGATGATGCCAGGTAACTTTCTTTTGAGGGTTTCTGTTGTGGAATACTAACTAGGCAAAGATGTGTTACATTTATTTATGCTGCAGAATATATTACGTCAACTGTGTAAAGGCGTGTTACTTTTTTTTTTAAACCTCTGCCTTCTTGCTGCTTTTTTTTTTTTTAAGATTTATTTATTTATTATGTATACAGTGTTCTGTCTGCACATATCCCTGCAGGCCAGAAGAGGGCGCCAGATCTCATTACAGATGGTTGTGAGCCACCATGTGGTTGCTGGTAATTGAACTCAGGACCTTTGGAAGAGCAAGCAGTGCTCTTAACCTCTGAGCCATCTCTCCAGCCCCAGGCGTGTTACTTTTGTTCTGCTGTATTTGTTTAACAATGTAAAGATGTGTTGCATCTGTTTCACCTTGTCTGCCTAAGGCACCTGATTGGTCAATAAAGAGCTGAACAGGCAATAGCTAGGCAGGAGAAAGGATTGGTGGGGCTGGCAGGCAGGAGGAGAGAATGAGGGAGATTCCTGGGGCAAGAAACCAGGTAGCCACCAGCAGACCTTAGAAGCAGTGAAAGTAAGATATACAGAAAGGAGAGTAAAAAGCCCCGAGGCAAAAGGTAGATAAAGAGAAACAGGTTAGGTTAAGTTAAAAGAGCTAGCCAGAAAGGAGCCTAAGCTAGGCCAGGCATTCAAAACTAGTAAGTCTCTGTGACATGATTTGGGAGCTGGTTGGTGGCCCAAAAGAAAAAAGCCTGGTACAGGTTTCTGTGCATGGTAGAGTATTTTTCAGCAGAATTGGCCTCTACCAAATGTATACCAGTGGAACCCATGCCTACTTCCTCTAGCCTCTTAGTGACAATCAAGATAATTTATAGTCAAAATTGTCCCCATTATGCAGGGTGTGGTGGCACACGCCTTTAATCTCAACACTCAGGAGACAGAGGCAGGTAGATCTGTGAGTTAAAGGACAACTCGGGCTGTACAGAGACCCTATCTCAAAAAAAGAAGCCAAAAACAAAACAAAAAAAAGATAGAGTGAAACAGGAAAAAGTAGACATCAATATCTGACCTCTATGCCCGTGAATCCAACATACCAATACATGCGCGTGCGCGCACATGCGCGCGCGCACACTCACACCCACACCACGTGCACATGAAAGTTCACATGCACGCAAAAGTAATATATGATCTTTTTACTTGGTTGTTAAGGATTCGTTGTGTATGCGTGTGTATGTATGTATGTATGTATGTATGTATACCCTATGATTCAGACTTCTGCCAGTAGCCTGACAGCTTACAGAATATGAGAAGCTGAGCTAGTGTCGTGTGAACTTTCCTTACATGTCAAATAGGATATCAACAGACCAAAGTACAGTTTTACCACAGTTCAGTCCGGGGAACCGGTGAGTTCAATGGCTTTTACTTGCAGAGCCTGGGTGACCCCAAAGCAATTGTTTCACTGGGAAGTCTCACCCCAGAGTAGACAACTCCCCGTAGCTGCAGTTAGCCTTCCACAAGCCACGTAGCCTATCACTGCCCGAGGCCATGTGCAGCTAGGGGGGAATTGTACACAGCTGGTTGGAGGTGCAGGAAGAGTGGCTGGAGTCTCCGGTGAGGTTTTCCTGACCTGTCTGTGAAGGAATGTCAATAGGCCCAATCATGTGACTCTTGTAAATTAGTCACAACAGCCTCATGAAGAGGGTGAGTTCTTCCCCTCCCCTAACTCCTCCTAGTTCCTCTCCGCCTCCCCTCTTCCCACCTCAATCCACAAACAAATAGAAGACCCAAAGAAAAAAATACAAGAGACAGACACACACACACACACACACACAGGAATCCCATAAAAACATAAAACTGGAAGCCATAATATATACGCAAAATATTTTTGAGGTTAAAAAAATTGCCCTGACAAAATATCCTGAGACAGAAATGCCCCTGAATTCCTTTTGTGTAGGCCACCACCTGCTCTCAGGAGTGGTTTATACCAGGCGGTGGTGGCGCACGCCTTTAATCCCAGCACTCAGGAGGCAGAGACAGGTGGATCGGATCTCTGTGAGTTCGAGGCCAGCCTGGTCTACAGAGTGAGTTCCAGGACAGGCTCCAAAGGCACACAGAGAAACCCTGTCTCGAAAAAAAAACAAAAAATAAAAAAAAAAAAAAAAAAAAAAAAGGTGGTTTGTACCCCCCAGTGAGACTCTGGTTGAAGAAAACTAATTTTTCATTTTGTGAGCAGTTATGATTTGGAGATAGCTTCTGGGTTAGGGATGGGGACTTGTGTCCACTTCACCTCTCAGTGCTTGGGACCCCATCTGGCATAGGCCTATGCAGACCCTGTGCATGCTGCCACAGGCTCTCTGAGTTCATATGCATCGGTCCTGCTGTGTTTAGAAAGCCTTGTTTCCTCAGCATCCTTCATCCCTGAAGATGGTGATTTTTTGCTTGTGGGATAGAATTTTGCAACAGCTAGACTGACTTGTTTGACGATGTTTATATCTTGTTTTCCTCAGGCATGGTTTCAGAAGCAAAGATATCTAAATCCTGAGCATAGAGAAGAGTCCTCAAATTTATCAGATGGGACAAATGAAGGACCGAATCCAGCCGCTCAGCAGCAGAACATCGACCTAGCCACTCCCACAGCCAATTGTTTCCCTTCCTCTGAACCCTGCTGTAATGTCCAGACGTCCCTACCTGCCCCACTGGAATCCCGGGGATTGGTTCCTGGGGATTCCTTTGGGGTCTCTGGGAGCCAAGTGTCAAGCACTATAACCCTACAGGCCACAGAAACTGTGCAGGAAGAACAGAACCTCGATGCTCCTCTGACTTCCATGAATCCCTTGCCAGAAGAGCCAAGTCCAGGACAGGATTTCTCAGGTACCCAGGCTCCTTTCTGTTCTCAGCCTGATACAGAGCATGAGAAACAACAATCTGAGGACCCAGATTACACCGACATATCTTACATTATGCAATGGTGGGACAAGGGCCGCCTGGATCTCATTGCAAATTGGGACCCTCAGAAAGAGGCGTAGTTTGCTCTGTCAAGTTCACCAAAGCCTTAAGCTCCTGCAGTTTGTTTGTTTCTTTTCTTTTCTTTTCTTTTCTTTTTTTTTGGGGGGGGGGGTTGAGACAGGGTTTCTCTGTGTAGCTTTGGAGTCTGTCCTGGAACTCACTCTGTAGCCCAGGCTGGCCTCAAACTCACAGAGATCCACCTGGCTCTGCCTCCCGAGTGCTGGGATTAGAGGCGTGCACCACCACTGCCCGGCTTTTTTTTTTTTTTTTAAACATTTTTTTACCATAATTGTTTTTGTTTGTGGGGGGGCACAGTCATGCATGTATGGAAGTCACAGGCCGACTGTGGGAGTTGTTTCTCTTCTCCCACCATGTTCAAGGGATCAGGCTTGGCAGTAAGCACCCTGGCTAGCTCAGCCAGCTTGGCAGGGTCTCATTATGTAGCTCTGGTTGGCCTGGAACTCCCCTTGTAGACCAGGCTGCCTTTGAATTCACAGAGATACACCTGCCTGTGCCTCCTGAGTTTGTCTGGGACAAGGGTATTGTTCTGTAGCTTAGGCTGGCCTTGAACCCATGGAGATGTAGCTGCTTTAGACTTGATTAAAGCAGTTTTGGTGGGGAAGTAAGTGCCTTTAGGTTTGCCGAGGGCTGGTCACACATAAAAGTTCCTTATTCAGGTTCCTGACCCTTAGCCTAGGTTAATTTGCTTTTACCCTGCTTATATCTCCTTCCCATCTTCATATTTGCCTCTTTCTAAGGCCTAGCTGCTTTTAAATGTCTCCATCATTCATTTTCAATGATGTGAGAACAAGGGCCAAAGTGGTTCCATTCAGTTTTTATTAACTTCTTCGTCAACAACAGCAGTTTGTTTCTTGATGTATGTGTAGCCTCACAATGTCTGAGGGACATTTGTGTTAATTCCTCAATGAGCTCCTGATTACTACTGTGAATGTTTGTGCACAAGTGTTTGCATGGACATGTTTTTTTGTTTTATTATCAGATATGTGTAACCAGAAGTGTAAGTGTTGGGTCTTGTGATAATTTAGTGTGTGTTACTGAGGGTTGGATCTAGGGTGGCACTTTGGTTTCATCAGGCTCTCCAGTTGCTGGGATTATGGATGAATATCACTATATTGTGCTCTTAATTTAATCTTTGTTTGAGAATTTCATACATGCATGTACTTTGATCAAGTCCAACCTCTACTCCCCTCCAATGATGAACTATTTTTAATAAATGTTCTTTTTTTTTTCCTCCTGAAAACCACAAATGACCCATTTTATTTAAGAATAGTAATTGACGAGCTGGGTGGTGGTGGTATACACCTTTAATTCCAGCAATCACTCCAGAGGCAGAGGCAGGTGGATTTCTGTGAGTTTGAGGCCAGCCTGGTCTACAGAGCGAGTTCTTGGAGGACAGGCTCCAAAGCTACACAGAGAAACCCTGTCTCAAAAAAAAAAAAAAAGAATAGTAATTGAAAGCTTTTCTTGATGGGTGTTGGTGGTTCAAGCCTATATCTCAGCACTCTGGAGAGTGAAGCAGGAATATTACAAAAACAGTGAGTGCTATTGTTGGCTACACAGTTCAAAGGAAACTGGGGTCCATAGCAAGACCCCGCCTCATAACAACGCCATGTGGTAGCACATACCTATAATGTCAGCACTCGGGAGGTAGAGGTAGGAAGATTAGGACTTCAAGGTCATCCTCTGCAATGTAGCAAGTTCAGGACCAGCCTTGGATAGATGAATCCCAGTCTCAACCAAAACAATGCTAACTAATGTAAAGAATAATGTACTTAAATGATGTTTTAGATGCATTTCTGTTGTGGTGGTAAAAATACTCTGGTCAAAGCATCTTTAAGGAAGGAAGGGCTTATTTGACTTAAAATTCCAAGCTACAGCATGGCACCAAGGGGAAGTCTAAACAGGACTAGAGCTAGTCATACCCATAGTCAAGAACAGAGAGAATGAATACATACATGCTTACTAATGCTCAGTATCCCTCTCCACATTTAACAGAGTCCAGGACCTAAAACCAAGGCATGGTGCCACCCACAATGGGCACTTCCCTACAGACATGTCCAGAAGCCAACCTGATCTAAACAATTCCTCATTGAGGAGACTCTTCCCAAATGAGTCTAAAATATGTCATGTTGACTGTTAAAACTAAAGATCACAACACAGCTTCACACCTTGTCCCCAAAGTCTCATGCTTCTCTCATAATGTAAAATACAGTCCAATTTTTAAAATCTCCATAGCTTAAAAAATTACAATACTTTAAAAATCCAATCTCTTAACTATGAGCTCACTCCTAAAAAACAAACCAAAAAGTTATGTGCTTCCAAAATATACTAGCATAGACTAAACATTCTCATTTCAAAAGGGAAGAACAGAGAACTAAAATGATCACACCAAAGCAAAACCAAAACCCAGCAGCAGCTGTGCCAGGCATCTAGGGCTCACAATACGATCTTGGGGCTCCGGGAGGTTTGGGGAGCCCCATTCCTCCACCTCTGCTACCTGAAGTACACACAGCTTCTCTTTGAGGCTTAGGTCAGTTCTACTCCACATCTACAACTCTTGGTAGTCAGAGGGTCCCCCGATCTTCACCCAGACTGACCCTTCTTCACTTTTACAGCTTTACCGGAGAGCTTCTTAGAGCTTTCAGTCTGGCCACGCGGTGGCCCACCCCCGGCAGTTCTCTGTGACATCCTCAGTCTTCCATCTTTCCTGCTTTTAAGATTGGTGTCACATGGGCAATGCTTATGACATTGCTAGATTCTGCTGCCAGCTGGAGGTGTAGCCCAGCCCTCTTGAGCCTCAGCTCTATCAGCTTCTGTGTGTGGACAGGAAGGAACACTGTCCTGTGTAGTTGCTTCTGAAGAACAGGGAAACCCCATTCTTTTTCTCATGTGTATTTATTTATTTATTTATTTATTGCTTTTTGAGGTTTTTTTTTTTTTCGAGACAGGGTTTCTCTGTGTAGCTTTGGAGCCTGTCCTGGATCTCACTTTGTATACCAGACTGGACTCGAACTCGCAAAGATTCGCCTGGCTCTGCCTCCCGAGTGCTGGGATTAAAGGCGTGTGCCACCACCGCCCAGCTGAAACCCCATTCTTTAGTTTAGGATCTCCACGCGACATCCAGAGTGAGGCCTTGACCTCGGGGTATGCTTCCTTTTGTTCCAGCGTAGCACCGATATTTTACTTCGGTGGTGCTGATCTCTATGGGCCTGAATGGCAAACAAACTAGTTTATCATCTCTCAATTGAACTTTACCCAGATTTTCAGGACACAGGCAGAATGTGGCCAGATTCTTGGCCAGAATATCACACAAATGCAACCTCTAACCCAGTTCCTGATATAGCTCCCATTCCTTTCACAGCAATGACCCTTCCTTCTGGTACCAAGTTCTGCTGGAGTTTTATTTCTGTTGCTGTGAAAAAATACTCTGACAAAAAGAGGTTTAGGATCCAGGCAGTGGTGGCGCACGCCTTTAATCCCAGCACTCGGGAGGTAGAACCAGGCGGATTTCTGTGAGTTCAAGGCCAGCTTGGTCTACAGAGCAAGTTCCAGGACAGGCTCCAAAGCTATAGAGAAGACCTGTCTCAACGCCCCCCCCCCCAAAAAAAAGAAGAGGCTAGGAGAAGAGGGGGTTATATTTGTCCACAATTCATCATAGCAGAGAAGTCACAATAGCAGAAACTTGAGCTAGTCATATCAGTTGAAAATATAAATTGTGGGGGGGGATAAAAAAACCTTTTTTTTTTTTTTTGAGATTAGGTCTCAAGTACCCTAGGCTTGCCTTGAACTCAAGATATAGCTGAAGATAATCTTAAATTCCTGATCCCCCTGTTTCTACCTCCTAGGATTCTACTTCTGGGATTACAGGCTTAGCACCAAACACACCATGTTTACTTGGTGCTGATGATTGAACCTAGGGTCCCATGCATGTTAGGCAAACACTCGACTACTGAACGACATCCTCAGTCATATGGCCTAATTCTGCATGCGCACACACACACATACACACACACACACACATACCACCCCTCGCCCAGCCCCCAAGACAGGGTTTCTATGTGTAATAGCCCTCCCTGGCTGTCCTAGAATGCAACAGAGATCTGCCTACCTCTAGTACAAGAATTAAAGATGTGTGCCACTACATTTGGCTGATATGGCCTAATTCTTGATGAAAAACCCAACTAAAAGATAAGTGACTGAGTGTGGCGGCACACGCTTTTAATCCCAGCACTAAGGAGGCAGAGGTAGGCGGATCTCTGAGTTCAAGGCCAGCCTGGTCTACAAAGTGAGTTACACAGAGAAACCCTATCTCAAGAAAAAAAAAAAAGACATGTGGTTTCTTCGTTATTTTTCTATTCCTATGACAAAACACCATGACAGCTTATAAAGAAAGCATTTAATTTGATTTACAGTTTCAGAGGGTTAGAGTCCATGATGGTGGAATGAAGGAATAGCTGAGAAGTCAAATCGTAAACACAACCACAAGACAGACATGAGACTGTTACAAATCCTTTGAAACCACAAAGCCTACTGACATACCTCCAACAAGGCCACACCTCCTAATCCTTCCTAAACAGTTCCACCAACTGGGGACCAAGTATTCAAATACATGAGATTATGGAGACCATTCTCATTCAAACCACCACATGTGAAGAGAGTAGTTTTGTCTGAGCCAGATTGTTGAGGAACCAAGCAATTTGCACATTTTCACCTGCCCCATCTTGCTAGCTGTCCAGCTTTTCCTTCACCTGCAGTGACATCAGAGATCTGATTCCATAGCTCTAACAGAGCTCTGTTTTGACAGGTCAATGTCAAGGGCTAACAAGTGAGCAAGTCTTCCAATATGCAAGTCTATGTGAACCCTTAAATGACTGTCCTTGCTTGTACATCTGGAATCAGTTCTCTCACCATATGGGTCCCAGGGATCAAAATCAGGTCATCAGGCTTGGCAGCAAGCAGAATTATTACAGAGTAAAATGGAGATGCCCTCCAGGGATGA